GATTAGTAAATTTAAAAAGGTCCTATTATGAGCAAAACATTTATCAAAATCTAATTTACATTATTAATAGAATTCAAACTGGTATATAATGAATTAAGCATGTAAAATAAATATAAGAGGTTCTGAGTTATAAGTCACAGGGATAATTTCATACCCAATATGATGAATACATGTAAATTACAGGCACGTAGAAACCGGGGGGGGGGGGGGGGGGGGGGGGGGGGGGGGGCTGCCCCCCTTTTTCCCAACATTACCTGTACTATAAGAAAATGTCCATTGAAAAGATGGTTGCCCCCCCCCCCCCCCACTTTTTACCACAGTATATACATTGCAAGGAAATATGGGAAAAAATTGGAATTGAAAGTAATTTTGCCTTGAAAAAAAAGTGGCCACTACCCCCCCCCCCCCTTTCATTTTTTTTCCTTTTTAATTTTTTTTTGGTTAGTAAAAAAAAATTTCTCAGGTGGCCCCCCCCCCCCCACTTTCAAAAACGAAGCTACGTGCCTGAATTATATAGAATTATTTTGATTTTTTCCTTGGTAAGCCGCCCGTAGGATTGTGTTTTTAGAGGCAAACACCTCAGTGCGGGTATTACTGTCTCATGACAGCATCTAGTTTTCGTTGTTTTCATGGTATAAAGAGACCCACGAATTCATGTCCTCCATGAAATGTAAAATGTTACATACATAACTACATAACTACTCAACAATTCTTCATCCAAGTATTCACATCCCCATGAATCAAGGGTTTTTACTCCAACCACGAAAATGTGACCTCACAAAAATATGTGATTTCAGAGTATTTACTGAAGTTCAATTTATGAATTATTTTATGTGCCTATTTAGCTTGCGTCAATTAGAGTATAGTTTCAACTTTACAATCCCTATACCCATACATGTATGAAACAGATCGGCTTCAGATAAATAGATCTACAAAAACAGTACTAATGAACATGATACAGGGAAGTTTAAAAAGTACACATTTTGTTTAATTAGTCTGGCTTGTGATTTTAACAAATAAACCTATTAGTGGCAAAGATGCTAATGACTTTTATGTTGCTAGTACTATTACAGAGACAATTCCAGTCTCACAAGAAAAGAACACAATAATCTGGTTGGTTTGATTTGTGTTGACATCTTAATTAGAAATCACACAATTTCAGCAAGCTAGCATCAGTGAATGCAGAACTGATACAGCTGAGGTGTAGATTTCATTTTTCTTCATTGTCATCACTGAGAGATGTAATAAATCTGATAGATAGGACTGAAAATGTTAGACATTTATAACATTTGTATGGAAATGCACAAATTTGGTATCAAAATTCAGCAAAAATTTCTCAAAATCCAAGACCATCACAAATGTTGAAGAAATTACAGAGTTTTATCATATGCAATAAGGAATATATAAAGATTCTAATAAAGTGTTCTTTGAGGTATTGTTGTATTCAGCATTGTTTTCTGGTTTTAAGATTTTGTTGTATTCAGCATTGTTTTCTGATTTTAAAGTTTTGCTGTTATCAACATTTTTGTCAGGTTTTGAGGTTTTGTTGTATTCAACGTTGTTGTCTGGTTTTGAGGTTTTGTTGCATCAAGCATTGTTATCCAGGTTTCAAGGTTTTGTTGTATTTGACATAGATGTCTGGTTAAGGTTTTGCTGTAATTTCAGTATTGTTGTCTGGTTTTAAGGTTTTGTTGTATCAATTAAGCATTGGTTGTCCAATTCAAATTTTTTGTTGTACCGGTATTTAGAATTATTATCCAGGTTTTAAGCTTTTGTTGTATTCAATATTGATGTCTGGTGTAAAGATTTTATTGTATTTAGTATTATTGTCCAGTTTTAAGGTTTTGTTGTAATTTCAGTATTGTTGTCCAGGTTTTGAGGTTTTGTTTTATTTAATATTGTTGTCTGGTTCTTAATTTTGCTGTATTATGCATTGGTGTCTGGTTTTAAGGTTTTGTTGTATCCAGCATTGTTGTCTGGTTTTGAGGTTTTGTTGTAGTCAGCAGTGTTGTTTGGGTTTGTTTTGATTTGTTGTTTTTAGTTTTTATATAAACATTGTTGTCAGGTATAAGGTTTTGTTGTATTCAGCTTTGTTATCCAGGCTTTGAGGTTTTGTTGTATTCAGCTTTGTTGTCTAGGCTGTGATGAAGTTATTCCTATGGAGGTGGTAGATGCCTTCTCTACCAGAAGTAGATCAATGATTAGGTCCACAAGATAGTGACATTTTTGCCTGAAGTGTGGGATGGTGATAACTGATGGTTGACTGACAAATTCAGACAATTGATCTGTAGTTCGTGTTCCAAATGAAATACACACAATGAAAGGACTGCAAACACAAAATAAATGTCCTGAATAATGTATTTTGTAAACCTGAAAGGGTTTTTATTCACAAGCATTGGACACGATGAAGCTGGTGGAATGTTGGCAAACGGATAAGTCTTTAATGACTGTTTAACGGCCTTTTGATTAAAAAATTCAATTTTTCTTATATATCCTCAGGAATATAGATTCTGAAAAAAGGAATTAAATTTTGTTAATAGTGAAGGTTGTAGAAAATGCCAGTCACTATTAGGATATTTGATTCAATGATCATGATGACAATGTGGCCAATACTGAATTGACATTTTTGTAGACCAATGCCAAATTTATATTTGAACTTGAAAATACCAAATCTAGACTTACATTTTCATTATACCACTTTGTTATTACAGAACTGTCACCAGAATAAAACAATGTTTCATGGCAGATCATAGATGTGCTTTAACCAATTGAAATATTAATATAAAATTTGATCTTGTTATTACCAGGTAATTGATTATTTTAGAATTATTTTTAAACAAAAAATTTCTGTTCAGTTTTTGTCCAAAATATACAGTGTACTATAATATTTCTTTACTCCTGAAACTGCATTTCAGTAAAGGGGGTATTTAGGGGTAGATGATTATTAGCACAAAGGGCACAAATATCAGTGTTTGAGATAAAGAGCTTCAACTGTATAATGTTTCAATCAGTAAAGTGGGAAAAAATTTCAGTATCAGTTACCGTTACAAACATTTTCTGTTGCACACAATCTCTGAGGCTTTCTCCCTGCAAAAAATTAGTTTGTTTTATTGTACTGAGAATTGCAACTACAAGGTACTTGTAAAACAGCCCAATCAATACCTGAAGTAATTACCACATCAGAAATATAAGTTTAATTTTGACCTGATAATTCAAGTGGAAAAACATTTTGTTCAGGATGAAATAGCTGGTATAAAAACAAAGTCAGAGAGTATATATATAGATTTCTTTTGATGGAATAGTTTGTAATTGCCAAATTAGCGTATAATTGTGATTTATCATCATATTTTGCACACAAAGGAAACATTATGGAGGAAATTTCCTGTAAACAGCTGAAGAACAAAGTAAAAAACATTATGCTAATTAGTTGGATGATAGAACCCATTACAAATACAGTGTATTCTGATTAAACCTTTAAAAGTACATGTACACCTGTATGTATTTAATGTATAATTTCCGTAAAACCAAACAGAATATCATTAAGTTAAGAAGCAATGTGCTGCCTTCTAAAGTGTGTAAATATCCTCATTTTATAATATTGACAAAATTTTCCAAAAACTGGATATTATACCTGGATAACTGGAATAAAAACTTACTACTAGTATGACAGAAAGCTATTACATGTACAATGTACTTTAATACTACACTTCACTATACATATTATACGAGGGTTGTTTGAAAAGTTCGTGGAATAGTATATTTTTTTTATTTGACGTCATATATGTTATCCAAATATTTTAACAATAAATCCAAATGATTTGTATTAATATTTTTTTTAATATCATGATTTATTAGAAACTTATCCAGATTTTAAAAATGCAAAAATCGGATCACCGAGCAGGTCAAAATTTAGTAAGTTACAAACAATACACTAAATGATGTCTGTAGTCATATTCTCTGTAAAATGGAGCCAAGGTGAAAAACAGCCTAGAAATTCAAATTAAGAATTTTGTTGTATCGATTCGTATTCCAAATTATGGCTTAATATTTTGCTTTGTTGAAAAGAAATCAGCTTGAGAAGATAGGTAGTCCTCAATGAAAACGAAATAAACGATAACGTTTTAGAACGTCATGAAGCAGCAGATAACGATGCAATTTTGCGTTTTACTCAGGAAAAATCCTGAGTATACTCTAAAAATGTTGGAGGAATCAAAAAGATATGTCACAAGCGAGTTGTGCATGTGTGTACAAATAGTACAGGCAGTATTTGAGTGAAAGAGACTCTGTATTGGATGAGGACAATCTGTGAAGATACGGTTTAACTGTAAAAATCTGAAGAAAAAATTTTAAAAGTTGGAACGTCAAGGAAAGACATAGGCGCTTCAGAGTTGCTTATCCTGTGAAAGCAGAGTTAAGTAATAAAAGAAATTAAAATCTTAACAAAGGAAATAATACAACGAGAGCAATTCTTAAAAAATAAATATCAAGTAGGAAAAGGATTTAATAAGAAGGCTTTGGATTATACTGTGTGAAATGTATAAGAATAATATTTTTTTTTTTAGAAATATGCTTTGTTTTGACGTTACATTGCCGTTAAGTGTGCTCCGCATGTTCAAAACATGTTCATTTTAAAAAGGAGTAAATTGATTTCTGTTTAATCGAATGAAATGAAACTTCACACATCAACAAAACAAATGTTTTACATATATCATATTGTGCTTATTTGAAATTTTTAGTAAGTGATATAACGAAGATTGACATTGTCCACAAACTTTTCGAACAACCCTCGTACATTATCTTGTAGACCTAGAAATGAATTAAATAATGTAAGAACTGTAGGCTGATATTTGTCCAAATGCTGTCTGATCGCAAATGCCTGTCTTTTAAAAAATTGTATTTATCATGTTGTTAATAGTGTTTGAAAAATATGTTGAACTTTGAAATTTATTTTCAATTAATAGACCTTAATAAGTTGTACATGTTTTTTTTTATCCGTACAGGTACAATGGACAAAACTCAAGTCCCAGCCTCTGTGTTTGGTAAGAATTTGACTGAATTATGTGCAATCATACTTTATTTCATGAATAACAAAACTACAATTTTTTCACCTCAACAACGCTTGATAGTTTGATTTCCTTTGTTATTGTGAGATGAAAAATTTCTCAGTGTCTTTCGTGTCAATAAATGAAAATGTTTATAAGCTAAACCTCCTAACAATTAGATAAAGAACTTGTCTGTGTTGAAAGTTGTTTTCCTTGATTAGTCAACTACAGTGTTGATTTTTTTCTCAGTACCTAGATGAGGTTGAATTGGAGATAGAGACCTGTAACACACCACGCCCCCCTAACAGCCCCGCCCATGTGGCTAGCTACAGAAGTGGGGGGAAGTACGGCTTCGTGGACCGAGTCATCGACGGAATGTACGTCCACATCAACTCGGTGCTTGTCAAATTCATCTCCAGGAAATTCCATGCATCTTTACAGGTAAAGAAAATAAAAATTTTCCTAAAGTATGAACACTATACAATTATGGACTCTGTTGCCTCGGTCAATATGAATATTTTTCTGGTGAATAACAAACCATATTCAACACCAAAAGAGTCCATAATTGTTTTATTATATAGTCGGGACTTGAATAGATAAGACATTGAAGGCTGTATGACGACACCATTTTCGTTTGCGATCTTCCATTGTTAAAAATGAAATAAAGTCTCCAGATTACTGTTTGTAACCTCCGTGTTTTCCTTTCCGAGTTCCACTATGTGTAAGACGTCCAAATGTTAAAAAATAATCCTGAAATAGGTTTGAATAATTGTTTTCCTGCTCAGATACGTAGCTCGCTGTGGCCGTTGCAACCATTGTTTACAACGTTCTTCGATGTTTTGATTGTGACGTCACAATGCCGTTGCACGCGCATTGACCCTCCGGTGAATACGGCCTAAAATCCAGTGAATATGTAGTGTTATGAACTGTTTGCGTTTGTAAAGATTATATAGGGACTATAAATAGACTATATGATAATGTCCATTATAGTTACATTGACCTGTGGAAAGTTTTATTCCTCCTCTGAATTTTAAATATTTCAATTTTTTCAATGTTTGTGCAGCACCCTTTTTGTGGATTTATACACACGTTTAAGAAAAAGAGAAAATCTTATAGGTACCCAGTGCATCTTAATTTTTTAGTTGTCAAGGGTCAAAGTTCAAAGTGTGACACCTAACTGGAAGCCTTCAGAGGACCTTGGGCCAACAAAAATCCGCGACACAACAAGAGGACAGATCCTGTTATTTAAGGAGTTTGATTGGCAGACAACGAGGATAGAAGCCACCGCTGTAGAAGGGGAAACGTCTGAGACCTTTCTGACCACGCCCCTCAGGTTCATAGCCAACCAATCAAAAATCAGAATCACCATCAAAAAGAGGCTCAGTGGTAAGGATATTGTTTTACATAAAGAAGGTGTTCTCAAAATAAAAACAAAAACTGTATACCTTGTGGCATGTCGAAAGGATAATGGGAGAAGTTCTATGAGTACATGTTTATATTATCAGTCAGTTTGCCAATAAAGATAAGAGAACTATATACATTGTATTTAATTATCTTTTAGAAATGATTTATTTGATGGACAAGACTTATTTAATTAACTACATAACAATATATTTTGTTGAATTATGGCATGAGAAGTTTAATAAGTTGTTTCTTTCACACAGATTGTGGAGTTATTTCTACACGGGTGATGCTCCTGCTTGATGATCTACTGTGGGTCCTAACGGACACTCAACTGAAGGCAGCCATCTTGTATATCAACTCACTCAAGGACATGATAGAGAAATCCAGAGCACAAAGCAAAAATAATGCAGCAGAGGCATTAGATGTAAGCTGGGATTTAATCAAAGAATTTTCATGTATCCTAGTTTGTGATACTAAAGATTAACCTTTTACTGCATGGAAGTTATTTCAGCTCTGTAAGAAGTCATCATTTTGCTGTAGAAATTTGCCACAAAGTACTCCCATGCATAATTCATTAAAGACATATAAAGCAAATTTTAAAAAAATCTACTTAATTTTCTACTTGTGGATTGAACAGAATTGTGATTCCATGGAATGTATATAAAGTATATAAATATGCTGAGATATTTTACAGATACAAGGTTTGACCTCCCTATACAGTGACAACTCTGAGTCCCAGAGACCGCGGAGTCAGTCTAATCCTTCCCACGTCTCCCAGCTGTTTGAGCGATTTGACGTGCAGACGACATCTTATCATGTGATCAGCAGCAGGATTGACCTTCACCTTTGTGATGACAACACCACAGATACTAGTACGAGACACAAGCTTAGTAGAGTGTTAGCTTTATGTACATTAGCTGCTCAATTTACGTGAGATGTTCAGCAGAAATTAGATTCATTCATGTCCATGGTGTAAAAGAAGCACCTGTCCTGAATATCTGTCCTTAGTGTTGAGTTGAGAAAACTTCCTAGATCCAAGTGTATTGTATTTCTGAATCACCAACTTTAGACTACTTGCCTCTCATACCACATAAACAGATCACACTCATTACAAATAGTCTATCTCCTTTGGCCACAAGTTGCATGAATGCCATTTTTTGTACATCTCTAATATACTCAGCGCATAGCACATAATGTCATCAACATCCATTTGTAATTTATGACAAAGAAATACTACTTTTATTGCTCTCTGATTACCAGCATTTGGAGTAAATTTGTTTTATTCTTTGATTTTAGAAAACATTCCTGGACACAACAGTCAGATAGAGGGAGGGGCCATGCAGGTCATCATCCACAAACTGTCTGTAGATATCTACCCTTTCTTCCCAGCAGGTAAAACTTCATAATCAAGTATAGATTCGATGCAGGACAAATACTAATTAGACTAATTATCATTGCTATCGGAATGATTTTGCATCCTAATTTACATTACTATTTTTAGCTCACCTGAGTCAGTGGCTCAAGTTAGGTTTTTCTTTGTTCATCTGTCTAGCATGACAAATACATGGGGATCACATATCTAGAGTTTGTCATAAAAAATTAAGTCCAAATTTTGTTATTTATATGAAACCTCATGAAAAGGTTTATCTCAATAGGATACATAAAGTTTTATTGATTGATTCAAGAATTAAATGACCTGAAAAAAGAGTTTATCCTCCAACTATCACTTATGAAATGTACTGTGTAATTTCTGTTACAATGTTATTCATTGTTCTTCTATACTAATATAAATGAACTAAAGAGCCTAGGTTTGGATCCTAAAAGGAAGTCAAATGATGACATTTATTGGAAAAAAAATCTTCTCAAGTGCTCATCTTGGCTGCAGCAGCAGTTATAGGGTAAAGTTGTGTAGATTCAAATGGGAACATTTTTGTGTAAAAAATATCTTAACGATTTGTGAGCATTGTGGCTCATGAACCTCTTGCTTATATTGGTAAAAGGGCATAGATGTTTATAGTTTGTTATATAAATAACAAATAATGGTGTAAGCTAGAACTGAGCCCTGTGATTTGATTGACACTTAATGAGGCTGTGTTTTCTGTAGACGAGGATCTGATCATGTCTCAGGGTAAGTCCTGCTGCCTATATCTGGTTTGTGTAGGTACCTTGGGAGTTCCCTCCCCTGACGCATGTCTATAGACACTCTTTATAACAGGTCTCCACTCAGGCAATGCTTCTACTGTTTTTTTTCTTCTTTTTAAATTAAAGCCACTTCAATGTGGTAAATTTGTATTATTATATTTTTTTTTACAATTTTGAAATTGATTAAATACAGTGTTCTTTATCTGACAGAGCATAACTGTATTACAAATAAAATTTCAATGTATACATGTTTACAAGGTTTTAACACTTTCCAGTTCATTTTATCTTCAAAACCAACTTACAGGTTCATAATAACAAAAATACATTTGTAAAATGATTAAGTCAGTAGCTGAGCACACTGATTCTGGTATATATTATACTGAATGCTGGATTGAATTCAAGTCATGAAGAGTTTGGTCAATCTTCAAATGTAACTGATACAAGCATAAGATTCTACATCGTAAGACAATAAGCATCACAGGACCACTTTACTGTCATGTTAACCTTTACTGGGTACATTTCTTATCCATTTTGTTTAATATTAAGAATAGCTCCGTGTAAAAATCATGCAAAATAGGCATAAAGGGGATATATGAGGGTTCTCAGAATTGGTAAGAAGATAAGAGAATTTTTCATTCATCCAAGCTGAAAATTGGCTGGTTGCTAGGGAAATTTCTTTACCCATGTTTCCATAGTAACCATGATCCAAAACATTTTTTTAATTTTACACACATGGTTCATAGTGCAAGAGAAAACTATGTGTGGAAAATCATCAAATTCTGAGAATCCTCAGATATCACCCTTTGCATGATTTTTACGCGGAGCTGTACTTAAGTACATATACACTATTTTTAAAATGATTTTTATAGCCAACTCATTATTCTGCATACATGGTACTTGTTCTTTCTTCAGTAATGTTTTTTATTAGGGATGTCAATTAAAAAACTGAATTAAGGTCAAGATCTAGTAAATAACTTTAGACTAATTTTTTGGTGCTAGATCCATTATAACATCATAATCAATTTCAACTTTCTTTTTCCCATACTTTACGGCTTTAGCAGAATTATGTAGAAAATAGGGTGTTTTCATGACATTCAATTTGAAATCATATGAAAAGTAAACTGGATACCCATATTGAATTTGTTATTGATTTAAAGAAGAGGCCATGAACATACTAATTACAGTTTTCTGAGAGACTGTAGGCAATATGGATACATTTCTTTTGTCATATATGAAAAAAAACTCCCAAATTCATGACTGGATTTCTGAATTCTTCTTTGAAAATGACAGTTTAAAATACAGTTTTTCATCTTGTTTACCTACAAATTATGCCCCGAAACACCTTATTTGACCAAGCTAAAGTTGTAAAGCGTCAATAAAGGAATTTATTTCTCAAGTTTGATAAATCTGTAGGCACCTTTCATTTACTAGATCTTGACCTTAAAAAATATTAACTGATTTGTTTCTCTAAGAGATAGTAAAGTATTAGAACATTCATTGACATTCCTATAATTACAAGCTATGATTACTGGGACACCAAACTTACAGCACAATTTTATTCATACAACTTTGTACAACAGCACAAAGAAATATATATTTTTATGTCCACTTCATTTGTATTTCACGTATAATGTACGCCACTCAATCTAAATGTACATTGTAAGATATTGCATAGTTACATTGTGATTAAGTTGTGGGAATGGTGATGTATATTGGGTGTGTTTTTATGCTACTGCTTCTAGTAAACTGCATTTTAAAAATCAGACAATTTTGTATCTTTATATTCACCATATCAATTTAATACTGTAGTGTTTTTGTGCAGGATGTATGTTTATGGCAGGTTTAAAAAGAGGGTACACTGGCCCAGTGGTTGTTTTATAAGCATGTACTTTACCAGCTTGATAGTTTAAAATATCTGCAATATTATTACAAATATTACATGAATGGCAGCATAAAACATATATTTGTTAACCAATAAATTTTATGCCTACTGGGATGTGTTTACACACTTTTTTCTTTATTGAACACATATATATTATGGGTATATGATCAAAACTATCAATATTATTTAAACTTTGTATAATTATCATACTTTTCATTATGGATATCATCAAATATATCAGTTTTACTTCAACTACATATATATAGCATTACCTTTCATTGATCAAAGCATCATTTATAGACAAATTACACCAGAATCTTCTATATCCAAATGAAGTTTGTTTTGTTTATTGTAGGGGGAGAAAGGAAGAATTGGTACAGATACACTGACAACCAAGGATCCAGAAACCCTTGGGTCCAGCAACTGTTCTCTGCTTTCAAAAAACAGGCCTCCAAGGCTCGAGAAACCATCAATATAGCCTCCCCTTCCCAGTCACCCGCTCACGCGCCAACCAATCAAAAAACAGAAAACACAGCAGCCAATCAAAGTAAAACCTCCCCTGCCAGACCACCCCCTCCTAATACGGGTCAAGGTCAGGGGTCACCTAACGTTAGAAGAAAGCGCTCCACCAAGCTGTTGGAGAGTTGTTACGTGGTGAAGATAGAGGAGTTTACCATTTATCAAGTGTCCACTGCTGACAACAAGAGGAACAACCCCCAGAAGTTCCTGAGCTCTGACAAGAAGCAGCTCCACCTCCCCCCGGACATGTCAGTGGTGCACGCTGAATACACCGATTATTTCTTTCCAGAGGATATTGACTTTCCAGGTAAATTAAGTTTCATTTAATTCTTACTGCACTGTTATGTAAATAGATGTCATTTTTAGCTCTACTGGTCAAAGACCAGAAGAGCTTATGCGATTGTAATGCGTCCGACGTCTGTCCGTCTGTCTCTAAACAATTTTTCAAAATGCTACTCCTCCTACAGTTTTTGGCTGATTTCAGTATAACTTGGCACACAAGTAGACTACACTAAGATACATAATTCTATATATCGGTTTTTGATTTCGATGAACGGTGTTGCCTTGGTTACTAAAAATAGAAATTTCTGTGAAATTCTTTCAAAATGCTACTCCTCCTACAGTTTTGGTCTGATTTCAATATAACTTGGCACACAAGTAGACTACACTAAAATACATAATTCTATATATCGGTTTTTGATTTTGATGAATGGTATTGCCTTGGTTACTAAAAATAGAAATTTCTGTGAAATTCTTTCAAAATGCTACTCCTCCTACAGTTTTGGTCTGATTTCAATATAACTTGGCACACAAGTAGACTACACTAAAATACATAATTCTGTTTATCGTTTTTTGATTTTGATGAATGGTATTGCCTTGGTTACTAAAAATAGAAATTTCTGTGAAATTCTTTCAAAATGCTACGTCTCCTACAGTTTTGGTCTGATTTCAATACAACTTGGTACACAAGTCAGGGCTCTCGATTCTCTAAAATTGGGGCCGTTCAACGGCCCCGTTCCCAATGCAAAAAAGGTACCTTTTTTCCCAAAAGAAAGGTGTAAATTTCCCAATTTCTATCCAGAGTAAAATATTAATTAAAAAATAAAAGTCCATCAACCTAATCGCAAAAAAAAAAAACCCCAAACAAAACACATTTGCAAATGAAAGTGAAACTGTACTACTATTTTATTAGTTCGCTCCAAATGCATTCGTAAACTGGTTCGGGGAACCAGGTTATTGTTTTTACAAAAATGTATTATACAACTATGAGTGCAGAGTATCTTGTTCTGTAGTTTCGACAAAAACCAGCATTTTGGTTTCAAAAATAGACATTTCATTTAAACATTAGTAAGCTGCACCTAGAAGCATACCCGCGCTTCGGCATGTTCAGTTTCGCGCTGTATTGGTAAGCAAAGTTGCCCATGTGATCGAGGAAATTCGGGACTATGTGACTAGCGACTGTCACGTAGTAAGACATATAACCGCAATATCAACACTCAAAGATAGTAATGACAAAGCTAATGTACTTTCATAAATAGCCTACGTACCCATGTTTGTTCTGTTTAACTGTTTATTCAAACCAGAGTTAGCATTGATGATAAAATGCTAGAAAAGCAAAATTTGAGGATTTTTTTAAAATGAATTTGTGTTATCCAACTTTTCCCAAAATGACGATAATTTTCCCAATTTGAACGGCCCCGGCCCCAGTCCCAAAAAGTGGTGTGAGAGCCCTGCAAGTAGACTACACTAAGGTACATAATTCTTTTTGTTGGTTTTTGATTTTGGTGAACGGTGTTGCTGTTGTTACTAAAAATAGAAATTTCTGTTAAATACTTTCAAAATGCTACTCCAAATACAGTTTTAGTCTGATTATAATATAATGTGGCATGCAAGTAGACCACTACACTAAGAACATAAAGAGACTTAATCAAGGATCATTATTCTATTTACTGTAGATCACTAAATTTTTGTGACACCTTATTTTCGCGAGACAATCATTGGATCTTTATAAGCGAGACATAATTTTCACGAATTGTTGTTATTCCTCTATATAATCGTAAGGAATACTTTTAAACACGAAAATGAAATTTTCACTAGCTCATTGTCTCGCGTAATTACGCGAAAATAAAGTTCTCGCGAATAAAAAGTGATTTACAGTATTGCTGTTGTAAAGTTTCAATTCCCAACTGCTGAAGCACTTTCCTCTTCCTTTGCTATAAGTACAAACCAGTAGAGCTTCAGTCTCGACAGAGACTTCTGGTTTTTAGGAGTCTTTTGTAAAAAATTATCACAGATTATATGTCTAGTTTTCACAGATTTTAGAAGGAAAAGATGTCTTTCCAACCACTGTTACAGTATTGTTTTTAGCTCACCTCAACGAAGTTGGGGGAGCTTATGTAATACCGTCAGCGTCGGCGTCCCAGGTTAAAGTGGCAATGCGGCTGCAAATCGTGTGCTTCTTCATTCTAATTTACCCAATACCCTAAAAGCTTGAAAATAAGACGGATTTAATAATAAGCCGGTTTTGAAAATAAGCCACCTATTTCTTGCATTAATAATTACTCGAAAATAAGCCTGTTTTGAAAATAAGCCGGTCATGACAATGCCTTAATTAAACACAGTATCAGTTTAATTATTTATTATAAATATTCCATGACATGACATTAAATTATGATTTAATTCAAAATTAAAAATAAAATGTTTACAACTGTAATAAAAGCATAAAAATTCAATCAAAGTCCAATATTTTGATTAAAAATGTTTGTTTCAGTTAGAATACCATGCGTAGCCTAAAAACCATAAAAATTCAAAGTCCACTATTTTGATAAAAACTTACATGTATTGTCTTAGTAAAAATACTATGCGCAGAATATTATGTCTAAAACTATAAAATACAGGCTGTATTTAAACTGTCAAACTCTGAATTTTAGCTCAGCCAGTGGAATGTCCTCATCTGAATCACTTTCACCGTTTTTGTTCAAAATAAAACAGCCATGTTCAGTGTCTTCAGTCTCCTCTTTCTCTGGCTCAAACGTATAATTGTCAATGCCTGTGAAGTGAATAAGATGGTCCTCACTGCCATCTGTTTTGTTTGAAATTCCACAGCTTTTAAAGCACTTCACCACAGCGGCCGTTTGTTCCTTGCAGGTTTCTGACCAGGCTTCCCCTACCCATTTAGTCATAAGGATTCGCCTACAATTTAAATAAAATACATTCAAATCATTAACTAAATGTGTTTTTGAATTGTTAGAATACCGGTATCTACACACTTAAGGTAAAATGCACAGCCTTAAAACAGGTGTGAAAAACTATTAAATGTAAAAACAACACAGAGCTAACGTTTGATTATTTAGTAATTACCTTTCTGAAGCTGTGAAAGTGCCCTCAAGCCATTGTTTTCTGTTTGCATGCACATGCTTGTCCGTTATTTCCTCAATCTTTTTCTTCAATGGAGCGTGGAACACTCTATCAAGGGGTTGAAGTTCGCTTGTACATCCGCCTGGAATTAACGCTAACGTTGTGCCGATCTCTCGGAACTTTGATTTTACTGTTTCCGTATTTTGCGCTCTGTGTACATCGGCAACTAACATTGTTGGTTTGTACTGGATTGCTAGAGTTTTCCACATATTATTTATCCATAGTATCATTCAAGAATAAGGTAAAAAGTTGAAGTAAGCATTTGAGAAAAATAAATATTCTCTCCTCATGTAAAATTAACGTAATTAAAATCTGCCGGAAAATCAAGGGTCGTACAACTTAGTTCTGTTTATTTGTACCACGTGAATTCTAAAATAGCACGTGCATACAATGTAGGGTTTACAATTATAATGGAATATTAAGTAAAAGCAATTCTTGGAATCAAAATATCTTAACTCTCCGGTAAATTAATAATTGTTAACATATTAGTCTGCATTCAGACGAATTTAACATGATTAAGTACAAATGTTGACGTTTTGTGTATTGGGGTACAGGAAAGGAAAATCCACCAAATCATATGTCATCGCGGCAAAATGTCAAACAAAATATCTTTCAGCAGTTCCAATACAATTTGCTTTTCAAATGGCAATAATTTTCATATGTCATAAGTGCATTTTTACGTTGAGTTTACACTGTTTTTATTTTCTTTGAAAGCCATGGAGATACGAGAAATAATAGCATGCATCAACAAACCTGTAGAGTAGAACCTTCGCAAGCCCCACGTGAATGTCGCGGAGATCCCGTTTCTTCTTCATCCAATGATTATATTAATCTCCCAACTAAATTTTTGTCAGGAAAGTTGCTTTTTAATTTCAAGCCCTATTTTTGGTTTTGTTTTTCATTTTGGTCGACTTTGTCAATGTAGCAGGCCTACGGGGCTTCCCTCTCTTACCATGCTGTTTTGTTTATGAAAACTATACGCATGCGTGAATAGCATGGAATGTGGAACCTCGAACACGTTGCGATGTATATATTTATGGGCCATAAATAATTATTAATTTTAATGAAATAATCAAAATTATTAACTTATGAAATTTGTAATTTTCTGAAAGTGTATACATTTATGAGTATGAAAAAAATTCCAAATCCTATAGGAAAATTCTAACAAGTCTGTTTTTGAAGAGATGCGCCGTATTGTCACTTTAAGGTTAAGTTTTTTGGAGCAGTTTTCTTTTTAAGTACTTCTATGACTTATATTGATTAGACATGCATGGAAGATGCTTCTAATGTGTTTCATTATACAAGTCAAAGTTTCAGATGCTGCAATTTCAGCAAAGGAATGACCAGGTTAATGTTTTTGGAGCAGGTTAACATTTTTGATACAGTTTTTGGTGTAGGTCTCATTTCCAAGGAACTATAAGCCCTATGTTGACCAAACTTGCAGGGATGGTACATCTAAGAATGAACATTACCAGGCTTGCTTCGGATGCTGAATCTGAGCTACATTTTCCAGTTGAGTGAACAGGTTAAAGTTTTTGGTGCAGGGTTCATTTCCAAGATACAATGAGCCCTATAATGACCAAACTTGCATGGATGGTACATCTTAGGATGCATACTACCAGACTTGCTTCGGATGCTGAATCTGACCTACATTTTCTGGATGAGTGAACAGGTAAAATTTTTGATGCAGGATTCATTTTCAAGTAACTATGAGCTCTTTAATGACCAGACTTGCATGGATGATACATCTAAGGATGCATACTACCAGGCTGGCTTCAGATGCTGAATCTGACCTACATTTTTTTCTGGATGAGTGAAGAGGTTAAATTTTTATGCAGGTTTCATTTCTAAGTAACTATTAGCCCTATGTTGTGCAAACTCGCATGGATGATACATCTTAGGATGCACACTAATGGACTTGCTCCGGATGCTGAATTCGACATACATTTTCCAGATAATGGACCAGGTAAAAGTTATGGGTGCAGGTCTATCACCAAGAAACTATAAGGCTTAATAAACCAAACTTGCCCAAATGATGCATCAAGGGATGAAAACTCTTAAACTTGCTTCAGATGTTGGATTTTGATCACATTTTCATGATGAAGAACTAGATTGAAGTTTTTATATAGGTCTATTCCAAAGTATCAGATCAAAATTGCATAAATTTTGCATTTTTGGATGTACACTTTTTGTTGGGTAATTGTGTGACTTTGCCTTACTTAAAGACAACATTCGTTGAGGTGAGCTCTGTAATCTCTGATTACCTATGTTTGTTAATTTTAATTACCTGGATTGTTGTTTTACAGTTCCCCATGCCAATCTGTACGTCCTCCTGAACCCAATCCGACTCAATGTAGACTGGTTAACATTGCTCTGGGCCAACTTCTTCATGCTCAACCTCTCCAAAAGCATCGTAAGGTTTTACTTCAAAAATACATTGCAAAAAACAAACAAGCTAATTCAGAGAATTCGTGTCCCCCGCTTAGGGAAAAAGTCGGATCCCCCTGACTGAATTTGTAGAATTATTAAATGTATACATGTATACTGAGGCAAATAAAATACATGTATGTCAATTTGCATATACAGATTTGATTGCTTATTCTTTATTATGTGTATAGAAGATTCTTTTTATATGGAATATTTATCACACTGTAATGATGATTTTACAACCTCATAAATTTTTCATTTCACATGCTGAATACTATCATTTAGTAAAAAAAAAAAAAGAAAAGTACATGTATTTAAAAAAAAAAGAAAAGAAAAAAGAAAGGATCGACCGGGATTCGATCCCGGGACCTCTCGCATGTGAAGCGAGAGACATAACCACTAGACCACGGAATTGCTTTACACTGCGTGAAGTATATGCAGAACTGAAGTCACATACATGTATGTTTTCATGTTCGGTATTCTCAAAATTTTACACAATCCATGGTGTTTGATTTATTTAGCCTTTATTAAACAGTTCTAATAGATGTAACAAGAACATAAAGTCCGCCGATAACCTGTTTCATACGCAATAACTCGCCTCATGCCCCTGCGCTAAAAATAGCGACATATAAATACTAATAAAACAAACGGGGCGGGGCACTTTGAGAGGGGCGAGAGAGGTCCTAGGGAGTTTTGGTATAAAATTACATTGCATAAGCTCAAAATCTTCCTGAAATATCGCCCGGAAATGATAGTGTTACACACAGACAGAATGTAAAAATTTTCGACCTTGAACTTTGACCTTTTGACCTCAAAATCAATAGGGGTCTTCACTAGGCCACAGGGAGTTGTTATGTAAAATTTCATTTCAATAGCTCAAATGGTTCTAGAGATATCGTGTGGAAACGAAAGTGTTTTCACAGACAGAATTTGCTTATTTATGACCTTGACCTTTGACTTTTTGACCTCAAAATCAATAGGGGTCTTCTTTAGTCCATAGGGAGTTGCTATGCTAAATTTCATTGCAAAAGCTCAAAGGGTTCTCGAGATATCGTGTGGAAACGAAAGCGTTACAGACAGACAGAAAGACGGACGGACGGACGGACGGACAGCTAGACGGACGGACGGACAAACCCAAATTAATATCCCCCACTTTTCAAGCGGGGGACAATTAGCAGAAAACAAGACCAACAATTATGAAAAAGAAACAACTTTCCCCCTTCGGAAAAAGTACAGGTAACTTTTGATGGCACAAACTTGATTTCTCGAAGTTCTTGATCGCTCGAAGTGAGTCTCCGGTCCAGAATTTTTCCCCTATATAACTAAGCAAATTTACTCTTGATTTCTCAAACTCTTGATCTCTGGAAACCCTTGATCCCTCTAAGTCAAAATGCAGTCCCGTTATGCATATTCTATTGGAATATACTCACGATACCTCGAAGTGGCTATGTGTATACAATGTTACATAATAAGCAACTTTACCTGAACATTTTGTGGCCCAGGCAGAAGACGTGGTATAAAGGAACAGGATGTTTACTTGACACTTATACTGCAAGGCGATAATTAATTTATAAATAATCATTGGGTGCCTATATACTATTAAAATAATTATCATCGACTGTCTTGCAATAATTTAGAGACACAGTACTGTCACTGAAAAATATTAATTGATTACAATACGAAACACTAAACAAATTTAATTTTATATGAGTCTGTCATAGTTTAACGAAATATGAAAATGCAGAAACGGTCTCATTGTCAATATGACGACTATTGTTGGACAAATACAGAAATTCGTTCAATGATCATGTCTGGAATAGTCAGTGCTATGTACGATGTTGTAAAAGGTTGTTTTCATTTAACAAATGCGTAGTATAATGTCCAATATATATTACAAAGAATAAATAAATAAACATGAAATGACAATGTACGGTTTTTGCTTTACTCATGCAGTTAAATAAATATTCATCTAAAATACTAAAACATGTCAATGTTTTATAAAAACCATGTGTAAAAAGTTAGCAATGCATGAAAATCAAGACTAATTTTAAAACCTGTCAATAAACCAGAAAATTTTGGACTCTTGAAAACTTGAACTCTTGATCTTGTGAAGTTTTTTCCTCAGTTCTACGCACTTTGAGGTATCGTGAGTTACCTGTAGTTTAAATTTAATGTTTACCTTGGGGGGGGGGGGGTACATATTTCTTTAAAGATTTCTTGTTTGTAAAAGTTCATACAGGTAATACATGTAAAATCATGGAAAATTATATAATGTGAAAAATAAATTATCTAATAAAATTTATTGCATTGTAGGAAACAATTGAAGTAGATGATGCCCCATTAGAGCATGTGGACACCAAAGTGGAGGCTATTATGCCAAGGGTAAGAACTATACACTGTAGATTTCTTTTTCTTTCTCATGAATTAATGTTATTTTTTTTATAGGATTAATCACAAGTACGTGCCACAACAGCTTCTGTTTTACTACTGTAGAAACACAAATTTTCTTTGGCAGAAAATTTTGTTGATTTGTCATTTAAAAGGATTTTGTGGACATAAAATTTTGTTGTTTCGAAATCAAACCATTGCAAAATATACATGTAGTCATATAAAAATTTCATGTCAGATTTATTTTCATTGGTAATTGTTAGCAACGAAATAAACGTAATTTAATCCTCCATGAATATTTCTGATTTAAGAGTATGTGTTACTTACTGTTTTATCTGTGTTCCAGATTGTCGTTCCCTTTGATGAGAAGTGTGAATTACCAGACTTCCCAAGCAGCGTACAGCTCCAGATCTCCAGAATGTGTGCCACCAACACCAGAGTCGATGGACCCTTCTCACGAGACAGTCTCTCTGACATTATAAATAATTATGCAGCTTCCCCGCTATTCTCTACCCAAAAATTCCCCAATGACAACAACAGTTTGAGAGCCATTCCTGAAGCTTTTAACACTCATGCCAGAAATTTGGAGAATCATTTCCTAGAGAAAAGAGCTTTGGATTTGTTGAATGGGCATGCTGTGAAAATTTCTCAGGAAGAAGTGAATAAAATCTGGAAGTCGAACACTCTAAAACATGATGCTAGTTATGATATGTGGTGCTGCCATGCAGAGCAAGTGTGGTTAGAGTTTCTAGGAGCTTCTAGTGTGAAGAGCAGGCCTCTTCCATTTGTGGAATCTATTCCTTTGTCTCTTTGGATCTCAAAAGCCCAACCCAAGGCTGGAAAGGAGGGTGATAAATTAGATAAGGAATCCAGACTACCTAATGGTGACAGCGATTCGTTAGGAGAGAAGTCAGACAGAGGAGATTACTCCGATCCCGACAGAGAGAAGCGACAAACTCGCCAATTATTGAAGGACTATTATTCTGATGAGAGTGTAACTACATCTGAAGAGTCAGAAACCAGTCAATTCCCAGGATTTCCATCTACATGTGATACTGAACATGATGCCAAAGATGATAATGTGCAATATTCTGCTTTGAGGGTAGCTGATTTTAATGTGGTGGCAAAAATTGGTCCCGGTCCCCTCAGAGCCCAAATGACCCACTCTCAATATATCTTCCTCATGCGTCTCCAAGAGTCTTTCACTATATTCCAGACACAAATGAATGCCGATGTTAGTCATTTTATAACAACAGTATCGCCGGCGGTGACGTTCTCCGTTCCCCTGATGTTATCGGAACTGGAGTTTGCCATGCTGTGTCCCATGGTAGTAGAGAACCCTGGGATACCAGTGACCTTCATCAGTCCCCCGACCTCTACCAGCGGACAGGAAGATCTGGTGGATGAGGTGATAGAGAAGGAGGAGTCCACTGTTAGTGACTCTATAGCAGTCAACGAAAGTCAAGATGGTAGGTATTTGTACTAGGTTTTATTCATAACTGTTAAGTACATCAATTTGTGTTATTGGAAATCTTGCTTAAACTCATTTATGGAAACAGGGCCTTTTATTTAAAGCAGGATGATATGTCTGCAGCATTCTTGATTTGTTTGAGCATAAATGCATATTCAATATTCTTTAACTTTCAGACTCATCCAACAGGAGTTTTCCTATAGTTGATATTGTGGATCTTTCTCATCACACTCTTGGGAAGTCGTACAGTGAATCCAATGTTCAGAACTTTGCTCCTGATTCCAGCCACCCATCCCTAACTCACACTGTCCTGGAGAACAATCTACAGTCTCGAATATCTCAGTCAACTCAAGCGCTCGGCTCCGTGGGGCGGGAATCCGGATACGGGTCACTTTCTGAGGCTCCAGTTCCACAAAGTAAGAAACTTTTACCCAAGACAACAGACTTGAAAAAGTTCACTTCCAAAATGTCAGGGCTAGCAGACAAGATAAAAGCCAAGATGGAGAACCTAGGAGAAGATAGCACCCCAGACAGTCTGGATAGCATGTCTATCAGAACAGACAGTTCTGAGGACGATTTTGAGGAATTGTCATTGGACGATGTAGAAGTCCCAGCATTCCAGAAAGCTCGACCAATCAGTGAGTCCCTTTCTACAGATACTGAGGCAGGAGATGATCTGTCGTCCTTCTGTGCTGAGCAAAATGCAGCTGAAGCCAGGGGCAAAGAAACAGTAATTATGTCTACATGTTTCTAACATAAGAAGATTTTAAAAAATTTTACTTTTATGAAGAAATACAAACATTAAAGTGATTATATTAGTCATATTTAGCAATGATTTTGTAAAAAAAAAAATTATGAGAAGGAAATTAAAGAGGCTGGGGGGTGGCAACCATTTTCAGACTATTTTGATCCCCTTTAAAAGAAGAGCTCCATACAAAGATATACAAAAATGATCAAATTTTAAAACTTAAATGTATGAATTTCTTCTTTGCCCAATGATAGTTGACAGCTTAAGATTACATATCTGAAAAAATAAGTTAAATCTGGTGGTTAATTTGTGATTAATTTGTTGACCCCCCAGCCTCCTTAAAAAAAGTTTGTAGAACCTAATGATTCAAAATAATGCTTCCAACTCCCACATATTATACCTATATCTCTCCTATCCTATAGGTTTCTGTGGTTCTGTTCAAACTGACCTCGTTAGAGTTGTTGTTACAAGGAGATGGGGATGACGTAGCAGCCAGAATCCAGGCTCAGCAGCTCCTGACTATCCAGCCAGGCAACATGATATACGACACATTCCATCAAAAGTTCCTCTCCCCCTCAGGTAAACAGCTCCTGACTATACAGCCAGGAAACATGATATATGACACATTCCACCAAAAGTTCCTCTCCCCCTCAGGTAAACAGCTCCTGACAATACAGCCAGGAAACATGATATATGACACATTCCACCAAAAGTTCCTCTCCCCCTCAGGTAAACAGCTCCTGACAATACAGCCAGGAAACATGATATATGACACATTCCACCAAAAGTTCCTCTCCCCCTCAGGTAAACAGCTCCTGACAATACAGCCAGGAAACATGATATACGACACATTCCACCAAAAGTTCCTCTCTCCCTTAGGTAAACAGCTCCTGACTATCCAGCCAGAAACATGATATACGACACATTCCACCAAAAGTTCCTCTCCCCCTCAGGTAAACAGCTCCTGACTATCCAGCCAGAAACATGATATACGACACATTCCACCAAAAGTTCCTCTCCCCCTCAGGTAAACAGCTCCTGACTATACAGCCAGAAAACATGATATATGAAACATTCCACCAAAAGTTCCTCTCAGGTAAACAGCTCCTGACAATACAGCCAAAAAACATGATATATGACACATTCCATCAAAAGTTCCTCTCCCCCTCAGGTAAACAGCTCCTGACTATACAGCCAGAAAACATGATATATGACACATTCCATCAAAAGTTCCTCTCCCCCTCAGGTAAACAGCTCCTGACAATACAGCCAGAAAACATGATATATGACACATACCATCAAAAGTTCCTCTCCCCCACAGGTAAACAGCTCCTGACAATACAGCCAGGAAACATGATATACGACACATTCCATCAAAAGTTCCTCTCAGGTAAACAGCTCCTGACTATACAGCCAGGAAACATGATATACGACACATTCCACCAAAAGTTCCTCTCCCTCTCAGGTAAACAGCTCCTGACTATACAGCCAGAAACACGATATACGACACATTCCACCAAAAGTTCCTCTCCCCCTCAGGTAAACAGCTCCTGATACAGTCAGGAAACATGATATACGACACATTCCACCAAAAGTTCCTCTCTCCCTCAGGTAAACAGCTCCTGACCATACAGCCAGGAAACATGATATACGACACATTCCATCAAAAGTTCCTCTCCCCCTCAGGTAAATAGCTCCTGACCATACAGTCAGGAAACATGATATATGACACATTCCACCAAAAGTTCCTCTCAGGTAAACAGCTCCTGACTATACAGCCAGAAACACGATATACGACACATTCCACCAAAAGTTCCTCTCCCCCTCAGGTAAACAGCTCCTGACAATGCAGCTAGAAACATAATATATGACACATTCCACCAAAAGTTCCTCTCCCCCTCATGTAAACAGCTCCTGACAATACAGTCAGAAACATCAAAAGTTCCTCTCCCCCTCAGGTAAACAGCTCCTGACCATACAGTCAGGAAACACGATATACGACACATTCCACCAAAAGTTCCTCTCCCCCTCAAGTAAACAGCTCCTGATACAGTCAGGAAACATGATATACGACACATTCCACCAAAAGTTCCTCTCCCCCTCAGGTAAACAGCTCCTGACCATACAGCCAGGAAACATGATATATGACACATTCCATCAAAAGTTCCTCTCCCCCTCAGGCAAACAGCTCCTGACAATACAGCCAGAAAACATGATATATGACACATTCCATCAAAAGTTCCTCTCCCCCTCAGGTAAACAGCTCCTGACCATACAGTCAGGAAACATGATATACGACACATTCCACAAAAGTTCCTCTCCCCCTCAGGTAAACAGCTCCTGACTATACAGCCAGAAAACATGATATATGACATTCCATCAAAAGTTCCTCTCCCCCACAGGTAAACAGCTCCTGACTATACAGCCAGAAAAAATGATATATGACACATTCCATCAAAAGTTCCTCTCCCCCACAGGTAAACAGCTCCTGACTATACAGCTAGAAACATGATATACGATACATTCCATCAAAAGTTCCTCTCAGGTAAACAGCTCCTGACAATACAGCCAGAAAACATGATATATGACACATTCCATCAAAAGTTCCTCTCCCCCTCAGGTAAACAGCTCCTGTCTATACAGCTAGAAACATGATATATGACACATTCCATCAAAAGTTCCTCTCCCCCTCAGGTAAACAGCTCCTGACAATACAGCCAGGAAACATGATATATGACACATTCCACCAAAAGTTCCTCTCCCCCTCAGGTAAACAGCTCCTGTCTATACAGCTAGAAACATGATATATGACACATTCCACCAAAAGTTCCTCTCCCCCTCAGGTAAACAGCTCCTGTCTATACAGCTAGAAACATGATATATGACACATTCCACCAAAAGTTCCTCTCTCCCTCAGGTAAACAGCTCCTGACAATACAGCCAGAAAACATGATATATGACTTATTCCACCAAAAGTTCCTCTCTCCTTCAGGTAAATAGCTCCTGACAATACAGCCAGGAAACATGATATACGACACATTCCATCAAAAGTTCCTCTCCCCCGTCAGGTAAACAGCTCCTGACTATACAGCCAGAAAACATGATATATGACACATTCCATCAAAAGTTCCTCTCCCCCTCAGGTAAACAGCTCCTGACTATACAGCCAGAAACATGATATATGACACATTCCATCAAAAGTTCCTCTCCCCCTCAGGTAAACAGCTCCAGACTATACAGTCAGGAAACATGATATACGACACATTCCACAGGGGTGTGCAATTAGAAAAATCAATAACTAGCCCACGGACTAGTGGCAGCTAGAAAGTTACTAGCCCCAAGTGAAAAGTTACTAGCCCAAATATAGGGGCAAAAATTGAAATAAAAAACTATACGTTGAAAAGAAATTAATTGTTGAAAAAGTCAGGGTACTGAGGTCATTCCTTTTAAAATTAAAGTTTAATTCTCACTATGAAATTAAATCATGTATAAATTGTAATGAAAGAAGATTAAAATGAATTTAAATAAATTATCTTCCCTTTTTCTGAACATTGCACTAGCTCATTTAGAATGAAATTTAATTCATTTTGTTTTCATCTTAAATCATTAAATACACTATAAATATATTTTATGTGAGTCATAAAACACTTATCTTTCAGTTGATTGAGTGATCGTAAATAATTTGATGAGATATCTGCATGTTTTTACCATAAACGAAAGAATAGAGGAAATTCGGATTAGGAAAAAACGATCGTTTTTGGAAGTAAATAAGTCAGGTAGTGCTGCAAAACAGATAAGATTATGGAGATTTATTGAGAGTAGGAGCATGTTGTCAAAAAAAATTTCACTGGTTGGGAATTTGATAGCAAAAACGAGTGAAAATACAGGTTGTGCTTTTCATGTATTGCGTGTGTAGTTATAATTTTTACTAGCCTGACGGGCTACCTCCATACAGAAAGATACTAGTCCGACCCCAAAAAGTGGTAGCCCCGGGCGTCGGGCGATGCTAATTGCACACCCCTGTTCCACCAAAAGTTCCTCTCTCCCTCAGGTAAACAGCTCCTGACTATACAGCTAGAAACATGATATATGACACATTCCATCAAAAGTTCCTCTCTCCCTCAGGTAAACAGCTCCTGACCATACAGCTAGAAACATGATATACGACACATTCCACCAAAAGTTCCTCTCAGGTAAACAGCTCCTGACAATACAGCCAGAAAACATGATATATGACACATTCCATCAAAAGTTCCTCTCCCCCTCAGGTAAACAGCTCCTGACAATACAGCCAGGAAACATGATATACGACACATTCCACCAAAAGTTCCTCTCTCTCTCAGGTAAACAGCTCCTGACTATACAGCTAGAAACATGATATATGACACATTCCACCAAAAATTCCTCTTTCCCTCAGGTAAATAGCTCCTGACAATACAGCCAGGAAACATGATATATGACACATTCCACCAAAAGTTCCTCTCTCCCTCGGGTAAATAGCTCCTGACAATACAGCCAAAAACATGATATACGACACATTCCACCAAAAGTTCCTCTCTCCCTCAGGTAAACAGCTCCTGACAATACAGCTAGAAACACGATATACGACACATTCCACCAAAAGTTCCTCTCTCCCTCAGGTAAACAGCTCCTGACAATACAGCTAGAAACACGATATACGACACATTCCACCAAAAGTTCCTCTCTCCCTCAGGTAAACAGCTCCTGACTATACAGCTAGAAACATGATATACGACACATTCCACCAAAAGTTCCTCTCTCCCTCAGGTAAACAGCTCCTGACTATACAGCTAGAAACATGATATAGGACACATTCCACCAAAAGTTCCTGTCCCCCACAGGAACAAGCTCTGATTCTCCTGTTAAATTACATTTGTGAATCTTAATTGTTTTATGTCCAGACATGATATGGCTGGGGTATGTAGCATTTATCGTGTCCACTGTAGCATTTATCATGTCCATTCTCCATCCTTCTTTCTTCAGTCAGTCCACTTCGGTTGGATTATATTCTGTTTAAAAGAAATTATCTAAGATTCTTTTGTCTTTTAATTTTTAAAATATGACTTAAACATATTGGTGAGAGCAGTTTGACTGTGTAAATTTCAGATGCCAATAAAAGTAAAAGAAAATAAAGAAGTTTTACAGAATTTATCTTCCTTGGTTCCAGGTTTCTTTGGTCAGGAGAAACTGTTTACCCCGGTCTCTGAGCCCGCCGTGAAGCTGAAGTTTACCACTGGACCCGGGTCAAAGCAGGAATCCTGTCCCGGGTCAGAGGAGAGCTTCCTGTCTGTCAAGGCCCACAACTTTGGATTACATTTTAAATCCTCGAGTCTGAACATGCTTACAACCTTTGTGGAGGACGATAAACCTTCTGAATCTGTACCCATGCACGTGGATGTTTCAAATTTTATGCTGATTTTACAAGTAATCATCTTATTTTCAATTAGATTTAAACCAATGGGTGTTATTTTAAAATCGAAACTGAAAATCAGAAAAAATGTTTCATTTGCTTAAAAATGTAGATAATATTTGGTCTACGGGCAACTTTAGTATATCCTTCAAGAGGAAACTTACCTGTAGAAATAACTGTATTCTGTAATTAGCTGTCTATCTTGCTGTTATTTTTAGGAAGATGTACTGCCCCCAGGATTTCCTAACTTACCAGAGCCAACCCACATTCAGATTCATTCCCTGACCATAACCAGGGGGAAGGATGGAGTCATGCACCTCAATCGTACGTATCTTATAATGAAGCATTCCCTGGACTTTTTAGCTCACCTGAGCCGAAGGCTCAAGTGAGCTTTTCTGATCACATTTTGTCCGTCGTCCGTCCGTCTGTCTGTCTGTCTGTCTGTCTAGCTGTCCGTCTGTCCGTCTGTAAACTTTTCACATTTTCGACTTCTTCTCAAGAACCACTGGGCCAATTTTGACCAAACTTGGTACAAAGCATCCTTGGGTGAAGAGGAATTTAAATTGTTAAAATGAAGGGACATATCCCCTCGCAAGGGGAGATAAACAAGAAAAGACAAAAATAGGGTGGGGTCATTAAAAAATCTTCTTCTCAAGAACCACTGGGCCAGAAAAGCTGAAACTTATGTGAAAGCATCCTAGGGTAGTGTAGATATTAAATTGTTCAAATCATGACCCCCGGGGGAAGGGCGGGGCCACAATGGGGAATCAAAGTTTTACATAGAAATATATAGGAAAAATCTTGGAAAATCTTCTCAAGAACTACTGGGCCAGAAAAGCTGAAACTTATGTGATAGCATCCTAGGGTAGTGTAGATATTAAATTGTTCAAATCATGACCCCCGGGGGAAGGGCGGGGCCACAATGGGGAATCAAAGTTTTACATAGAAATATATAGGAAAAATCTTAGAAAATCTTCTTCTCAAGAACCACAGGGCCAGAAAAGCTGAAACTTATGTGGAAGCATCCTGGGATAGTGTAGATTCTAAATTGTAAAAATCATGACCCCCGGGGGAAGGGTGGGGCCACAATGGGAAATCAAAGTTTTACATAGAAATATATAGGAAAAATCTTGGAAAATCTTCTTCTCAAGAACCACTGGGCCAGAAAAGTTGAAACTTACGTGGAAGCATTCTTGGGTAGTGTAGATTTTAAATTGTTCAAATCATGACCCCCGGGGAAAGAGTGAGGCCACAATGGGGAATCAAAGTTTTACATAGAAATATATAAGAAAAATCTTTGAAAATCTTCTTCTCAAGAACCACTGGGCCAGAAAAGCTGAAACGTATGTGGAAGCATCCTGGTATAGTGTAGATTCTAAATTAAATCATGACCCCCGGGGGAAGGGTGGGGCCACAATTGGTAATCAAAGTTTTCCATAGAAATATATTGGAAAAATCTTTGAAAAACTTCTTCTCAAGAACCACCGGGCCAGAAAAGTTGAAACTTACGTGGAAGCATTCTTGGGTAATGTAGATTTTAAATTGTTCAAATCATGACCCCCAGGGGAAGGGTGGAGCCACAATGGGGGGATCAAAGTTTTACATAAAAATATATAGGAAAAATCTTTGAAAACCTTCTTCTCAAGATTTACTGGGCCAGAAAAGCTGAAACTTATTTGCACGTCGAAGGATCCTGGGGTAGTTGATTTCAAAATGTCTTAATTATGATCAGTGGGGTAGGGTGGGGATACATAATGTATTACAAGGGGGAAATCTGGTAAAGAACAGAATGGTCAAAGCTTCTCAGATGAGCGATGTGGCCCATGGGCCTCTTGTTTATTGAATTGCTCTATTTTTGAATGAAAGGAAGCTTGTATTAGTACAATTCTCTGTTATCCTTGTACTTTCAGTAGGGCATGGCATTCTTGACATTACATAATTCTAGTCTGAAATTTACACAGTCTTAGTCTTTCATTCACTGTTGAAATACACATGGGATAAAAATTCGGCAAATGTTAATGAGTGTAGCAATGATCCAATGATAGTGTTCTGTACAGCAAAGACATGTTCTCATCGTTGTTAACAACAATTTAAAGTTGCTGACGCTATTACTTTCTTAACCAGTGAGAATCTATTCCCATTTGAGAGACACTAATTAGCTAGCTGTGAGAATGCCATGCCTTACTGAAAGTCCAAGGATGACAGAGAATTGTACTATTTTTTGAATAATGTTGCCAAAGATTTTGACATTGTTTTGAATGTTGCATAATGCTTCTTTTATTTTCAGAAAACATGATTCCTGACAAAAATCGAGAAGACAAGGACCTAAATGGAGAGGTAGATGAACTGAAAGGTGAGGTGCAGGTCTTAAAGCAGAGTAACTATGAGGAGTGTCTCAGTATACGATCGATAAAGTTGAGGTTACAGGAGCTAGAGGTCGAGAACAGATTGCTACGGGAGGAAAACAGGAAAACCTCCTCACGATCTAACCCTGAGTCTGAGTCTGTGACGGAGGTCAAACAGCTGCTGGAAACTTACACCACAGAAAACGCTCGACTGATCGAGAGAATCGCAAACCTAGAGGATGAGCTCCTGTCAGTGACCAAGGAGAAGAATTCCTTTATTGAGACTCTGGCGTTACTTCAGGACGAGTTGAATCTCTCAGAGAGAAGGCGGCATGATTCAGATAAATAAAGCTCAGCGCAATATTGTAGGGAGGTAATGTTTATTTTACCAGAGGCAGTACATGTATGTGTATGTGTTATAATAGGTGATTATTTTTTTATATCATTGAAATAGTTATAAATTTTGATAGCATGTATAGAAAGTAAATAATTGATTTTTAAATACATCTTAACTAGTGTGGTTGTAAACACAAATACTGTATATTGTTGTCTTAGAGTGAGTGGTATCTAAATATTTTCAATATGTTATGATATTGAATGAGAACATTTTAAATTGCTAATGTTGCTTACAAACTCAAAGACTTAAAAGTCATATGCAATAGGTTTTGTCATAATAATGAGGGATATATCTGGACAGTTGCCCAATAATATTTACTTTGTGTCAATTTACTTGTACATTGAAGACGTGTAGAATAATTTTGTGCCACTTCAATGATTTCGTTCTTAGAACTTACCTGATGTTTTCCTCTGTTTAAGGTACATGTAGTTATGACTTTGATAGTGTCTATACATTTTTTCATTTCTAGAGTGCAAAATTATTCTTGATCAAAAATAACGAAAACTAAAGCAGATTACCCACCTCTTATTAAAAGTCAGTTATCAGTAGTTTTATTTTAGAATATTTATTTAATTTCCTTTTGTCTCCAACAGAAACAGCTGCTGAAGCTTACTTTTTTAGGTGTTGAGACTTTGGCAAATCAAACAGGCAATTTTTTTTTCAGAAGGAATCAAATTTTACTGCTTTAAAGTTCATCGAGACTCTGTTAAGGGAGATAACTCTCTCTAGGATTTATAACTGATAATCCTTTTAAAATTGTCACGTTTTTCCTTTGATAGAAAATCATTATAAATCAAACAAAACTTTGAAAACCTGAGCATATGAATGATGAATTTCAGTTTGAATTAGACTGCAATGTTTGTTTGTCTGATAATGCTTTATTGAGATATTCATACTGGCCATATCATGCAGGTATTTGGTTTTTATTAGTTTTAGTTATTTTGATTTTTATTGAACACTTGTAGCAGTTTCCAGGAATTATTTATGTGTAATTAAAAATTTAGTTTCATGATTACCTGGAAGGTTCATCATTGAGAATTATAATGATTTTATTTTAAATACTTGATGCCATTCTAGGTTACTGATGTAAATAATCTCATTTGTGAAATTGTTTTCTGTTTTCTAAACTTGTCAAATAAGTTAATGTATGTATGTACCCTTTTTTTCTCAGTTTTATGATAGTGCTTATATTTGTACATTTACTTTATAGCCTATAGTATTTATTAAAGTGACACAACTGTACCTCTGATAATTAACCATTGAACACAAAGGTGTGATAAATAATCCAAATCTTTATCATATAGAATATCCACCAAGCCCTTGGCTTACTGTATTTTTGTGCAGGTTATATTTTTCATGTTCTTCTTGTCTCTATTTGTCTTGTTGCTTTTTGATTTTTCTGTTTTACTTGTCTTAGTTATTTATTTGGTCGCTTTTGGTGCTCTTCCCTGTACAGTTTAATATGAGAAATGGATATATTCCCTGCTTTGTGTCAGCTTTCTGTGATATTTTGGGTGACTTCCCTTAAAAGAAAAATCAATAAGGCATTGGTATGGTGCTTGGTATATTTATTAAGAAACTTTGTACACTTTGTTATATTGGCAAATTTTAAAATTTATTATGCAAGAAAGTGAAAAGAATTCACAAAAACAGAGTGTGACTGGAAATCATCTAGTTCTCAAGACATTTTTCAGTTTTTGAATGACATAAATTGATGTATATTGCTCAGTTTGTGCAAATGTTATACATGTATAACAGCAATAAAGCCCAGTAGTGATAACAGCAGTGACTTAATTAAGCAAGTACTTCTTCCTGCCATTTGTAGCTCAGAATCATTTTCCCACAGATTTTAAGCAAAATATAAATAGCATTTTTATGATTTTTTTTTTTTTAGAACTTGTTGCTAGTCAATGAAATGAAAAAAGCATGATTACACTTGTATAGTAAATGTGTGAACGTGTTTATAGGCATTAACATACAAGTTACTAGTGACTGCAGATTCTGTCATTTTCATTGTGGAATAAAATTGTAAAATGCACACTTTAGTGAGATTGGCTTGAATGATAAAATAAGAAAGGGTAAAGAAAATGTAAATTCCAGACAAATTTAGTAGATTTCATTACAAAGTGCAAATGATAGCTACAAGCACTATAAAAAGTGAATACAGTATTAATTTTAAAGCTTACTAAAAGTTAAGACCTATATTCATGTAAACAATACATGTATATTGAATGGCGAGGAAGAGAGTACAACATTTTGCTATATGTGTTGTTAATAATCATTTCTTATGGGTAGTATCATTAATTTTGTAGTTTAGACACTTTAGCAAAGTAGTTTGACATTGTCTGCAGGTAGTAATATACCTGTATGACTGCATACCTATTTATAATTTACCAAGTTCTTGTCATTTCAACACTGGTATTTAGAAGAGTGCTTTCTTCTCCGAGCCAAAGTTTGTAAAAAAAATTTTCTTTGTTATACTTTGTTATATATATGAAGGTCTTTGTTATTCATATATAGGTACTTACTGAATATTACAGTAAATAATTAAAAACTGTAAATTTATCACACCATGTAGAATTGAGTAAGCTTTGTTATGCCACTGCACTGTATTCCTTTGAGTGACACAATTTTAACTCTGTATCAAATCAATATTGATTATTATGGAGGATTCCTGGGAATTTGAAAACCCAGCGCATTCCTTGTAAACATTTACACATTATTTTTTTTTCAGTATTTAATTGAATTGCTCATACAGCCTTAGGTGTGATTTGTTTTTGTTTTTTCGTTTTTGTTTTTGCATACTGGTAGTATAATAAAGTGTATAGCTGCCCACATGCATGTACGCAACTAATTAAACAAGAATTTGCTTCAATCAGTGCCAATTTGCACACAGAGGGTGACCACAGTCATATTTTGGGCACCTCATATCTTGGTGCTTTAAAGGTGCATGGACACAGATTTGAAGTTAATATTTTCTGTATAATATTACGACTGATATATTTTAATAGCATTTCACACAAAAATATATTAAAAATCTTATTTCATCTAAAAGTTATTAAAACTTCAAATTTTTAGACAGGTTTGATTGGCACATCCTTTTATTATTTATCATTAATACACAATAAGATTGCCACTTTTCTTAAGTATTAAGAATAAAAGTATAGTTTGTGAGAATGCAAGGATGTGTCAATCAAACCTATCCAGAAATTTGAAGTTTCAATAACTTCAAGATGAAATAAAATTTTTAATATATTTTTGTGTGAATTGCTATTAAAATGTGTAAGTCGTGATATTATACAGAAAATATTAACTTCAAATCTGTGTCCATGCACCTTTAAAGTTGTTTTGATTTCAGAACTCAAATGCATCTCATATCCTGTCATAAATATACATGTACATGTATGTAATATGTATAATAGTTTGGTTATCACTTTATTTCTGTATCTGTTAAGTGAAATGAAGATATCCATATCTGGTGATTTACTGAGCCCTCTTTGCAACTGTCTTTTGTATTGAGAAACAATGTTAAATCCTGAATAGTTCGAGAGGAAATGCAATAATTAAACACGTTTTGTATGGTTTTTCTACTCCATTTAATGGACTTGTTGTATGGTTGTTTCTGTTTGATAGAATAAAGATTACCTGTATCAAGATTACCTGTATGAATTGCCTGAGTTACTTTTCATCAAGATCCATTTTTCTCACTAGAGAACTAGGAAAAAGGAGGGGGAGAGCATTTGGATCGAAGGTTTCATTTAGCATGCTAGTAAGTGTTGCAGTTGCTGTCAGGTGAAAAGTAAATTATTTAAATAATCTTCTAATATGATGATTTAAGGTCATACTAAGATTTATATCTATTGCTTTTCATGGATTTATGTTTTCAAAGTTGTTGGGAGAGGGAGGGGTCAGTACCAGAAAGTCATTAATTAATAAGCAAAAAAAAAAAAAAAAAGCAAAAAAGAGTGCCTGATTCCACCACTTTCATGATTGAATACTGTTCATCATAAATTAACAGCAATTGAATTGAAGGGGATGGTATGAAAATTCCATTCTGGACAACCTATATTTGGTTTGTAAAGAAGGCAAACACAGTGTCTTGTAAATTATTTTAAGAACACCTGAACCAAAAGCTCAAGTACAGGTAACGTTTTCTGATTGAATGATATCCATCTGGTGTCTGTTAACTTTTTACATTTTTCAACTTCTTCTCCAGAACCATATGACCTATTTCAATCTTACTTTTCTCAAAGATCCTTCAGTAAAGGGGATTCAAGTTTTTTTTTATTTCAAACGAATTCTTTATGGATGGAGTTTTTGGTTTACCCGATCATGACAAGGAGCACATGGTGAGTAATCTGTTGACAGGGATGTTTACTGCTCCATGGCTCCTGATCCCACCTCTGATGTTTTAGAGTTCCATGTTCACTCTGCTCTTGATTTTTATTGTTTAATGGACTTTTGAGCATGAATACTGTTTGTTATCTCCATATTTCATCGTAATATTCTTTGGCTCCAAAAAAGCACTACATAGTCAGTGAATGTATTTTAATATATTTACGTCTATTAATCGTGTAGTTTGTCAGACGTCCACTGTAAGAGTATATTATCTCATCCCTGTCCTTAAGTTAATTATCTTCATGTTGTCTGATTTTCATATTGCCGTTTCTGTATTCTTTGGTTTCTTGAGCAAAGGTAGTATTTCAAAAAATCATTTTACCCCGGTTGTCTGAGCATTTATTCGGGGGATATGTCAATATGTACAGTGTATAAACTGTAACTTTATTCATACATCATATCATTTTCCTCCAAAATATATGGAGATATAATTGTAGTCATGAGCAATTTTTCTCCTGAATTAATGGAGATAATTGTAATCATGAACAATTTGTTTTATTAAAAACTAATACCCCATTCATACGACGAAAATTTGCTTATGTATGCAAATTTACATATGAGTAAATATACACACGTAAGTAAAAGTTAATTTGCTATGCGTTCAGACGAGATTTATGTTCTGTAAGTTAATCCTTATATTTTTATATAAGATAAGGAGATCCACAGATTCATAATTGTGGATTTTTATAGAAAAAGGTCACAGGCACCTGATGTTACTAACTTTTCTTTTAATATATATATATATATATATATATATATATATATATATATATATATATATATATATATATATATATATATACACACACATACCTAATAATATACCAGGTATTATTAGGTATGTGTATATTTTTGTTTATTAAAAGAAAAATAAGTAACGTCAGGTGCCTGTGAAAAAGGTTATTTTCTTACTATTTGGGTAAATGACTAACTTTCGAATGTTCCTCAAAAGAAGATGGTGGGAATCCGATACATTTATTTTTGGTATGGACTAAAAGCGAACTTTAAAATAACTGTAAAGAAAAAATTACACACAAAAAAAGCAAATTAATTAAAACCATTGTTTAAAATTGGAAAATGCTTTGGCCTCGGTCCTAAAGACTATAGAAGAATCGTTAGGTGATCAGGAAAAAGATGGCTGTTGCCATCCACTTAATTGCGTCTTCAGCAGAATCAAGTACGACTGGAAATCGTTTTGGTGTTTGGAAATCTACAGTTTGCAAGGTCATTATGAAGTTTCTGCTTGAATTTTATATGTATTTTCTGGAGAATGAAATGGGGAGTCAATTTAAAAAAATCTATATTTCCTAAATGAATAGGAAATAAAAACGAATCTCCTAGAAATTCATGTTGGGATCAGGTGCCAAGGATCGAGAATGCTTAAAAATGCTTATTTTCAACAGGGTTGTTGAAATTCTTTTAGCATCAATTTATATGTCAGTAGCTAGCCTTGGTTTAAAAACAAAGAAAGGCAGAAGAGAGTCAATCTGTAATGGGGCCGGGGCGATTGATGTAATGCCTATTCCTATCACAGCTCCAGAGCATTCCCACAAAGACTACTTGAATTGTAAGGGGTCTACTTAATGATCCTGCAGGGTACATGTTTGTGTGACCACAGCTATATTTTTATAATATAGAGAAAGGATATGGAGATAACGATTGGTATTCAATATCAAAGTCCACAAAACAATACAAAATAGGAGCAGATCAAACACGGACCTCCAAAACATAAGAGGTGGGATCAGGTGCCATGGAGGAGTGAGCATCCCCTGCTGACATAAAACATAGGTTTGCAAGAAAGGTTGCAAGATGCGCACGTTTTTGCAAATTCAAATTTAACTCAAAAATCACTGGAGATATACTGTGGATCCTTGTTTGCAGAGTTGAAAAAGCCAATTGTGGAAAGAACTATGCTAGTGCAACCTGGAGTATCCTTTAAAGATTTTAAGCAGCTGTCCTTGAAGTAGAGTAAAGATGACCATAACAAATCCAGTTTTTTTATGTTTTGCTTTCTAACCGCCATGCTAACAGACTGATATTATACACACAACAATGCATAAACAACTGAAACAACACTTAAAATGGAGATTTATGCAACAAACAAAACAAAATACATATATAAGTAAATTTGCTGCGTGTTCATACGACAAAATTTACACACATGAACTAATAATTTGCGACAACATGTATGCTAAGGTTAATTTGCACCTAGTCTTGACCAGGTGTAAATTTACTCAACTGTGCAGAATTTGCATGTGAGCAAATCCGTTCATACGACAAAAATTGCACATGTGAGTAAATTTACGTATGAGTAAAATATACCGAGGTATGCAAATCATGTCGTATGAATGGGATATAAGATTAACATCCCTCACTGAGGGACCTTATAAAAGTCGTTACATTGGTTGAGCTCTTTGCCTACCTCTTCGGTACTTCTTAAAGCATGCACTAAAGACATTTTTTAACATTGCTGATCGAAGGTATAATGGGCGGGTATACATGTATTATAAAATTTCTTTTTTTTATAATGCACATAAATGTTCTTTGCAAGTGATCAAAATTAGCACTTTGATGTGAATTTTTTTTATCATTATTTTCTGAATTATTTGAAATTCATTGAAGCTGGGGGAACTAATTGATCTTTTCTTAATTTAAGAAATAAATAACAAGTTTATAAACTTCAATGGGAGTTGAACTGGGTGTCGCATAATATTTGGTCCGCCTCGTTTAAAGGTCCGGCCGGACCTAATACGATATCATATTTGGTCCGCCTTTTATAAGAAAAGGTCCGGCCCGTATAAGAAAAGGTCCCCCTGCGTTTTAAGGTCCGGGTGGTGCAAAATGTTTTAATCTTGACTTTAACATATGAAATTAAGGCTACCGGGTAGTTTGTTTATACAATATGATGAAAGAAGGATTAACCCTGTTGTGTTTTATTTTTTGTACAACATACAGGTATCTCTAGACAAGAATCTACTCGTATAGTGTGCTTTAAGCAGTGCCGTTTAGGGTCATGATTTCCTTAAAAATCATGCCACAATTATTTTGCAAGTGTTTGTTTTTTCTTTGAATTTGCTTTTTGTAAATTAGTACGATTAAAGGTGTGAAATCTGTCGGAGTGTATAGCTAATA